TCTCAATGATTTACATCCTATCAGAAATATACTATACGTTGAAACTAAAATAAAATAAAAAGAGGATTCACACTTCACCTAAAATGGGAGAATAACGAGATCATCGTGTGTGTGGCGTTCTCTGGGTTTATCTTCGTGGGAGAGTTGGAGGAGGGGCTACAGACTGTATTGGTTTGTCTTTGTGTGAGCGTTCGAGTGTCATGGAAGCGAGTGTGTTTTATAACTCTGTGGTGTTGTAATGTAGGTAAGTGTTTTAGGGAGTGTTATATTTATTACTATAATTCTGTAAGTGCTTGACTAACACACAGAGATAGATGGCAAGCAAATAGGTATACGTGGATTTATATTATTTCTCTGTGTATTATTGTTGTCATTCATTTTGCTGTGTTTGTCTTTACTTCGCTTATGTTATGACTGAAACTATTGATCCTTCGTTGGGTTAATCACGAGTCACAAAATAAACTGGTCCCTGTTTGGGCAATAGGATAGATAGATAAATAGATATTTACAGTATTAAGTTAAATCGTCATGCAAGTTTAAAATTGGTTCAGCATGTCTGTAGACAATTCAGGTATATAGTTGAGCATTTATATAGACTTAATAATAATAATAATTAACGGTTTATTGAAAGAGCTTGGCAGCCAGAAGGCTGAAAATATACAGTTACATATTTGGGGAATGGGTTTCGAATTACAAATAATATACAAGTAACATAAGTGATACAAATAAGATATATAATAACTAGATGGGGAAAAGCTCAAACTACAGTGCATTTCAACATAGTGACAGTGCAAGAAGTAGTATTTACTGGGAGTGAATACACTGGTTTATTACAAGTTATTGATAACTTTTACAGTGGTTGGGACTGGGCTGTTCTTATAGCGATCAGTTCGTGCACGTATGGGCTGGATGCGGTTGTGGTGTCGAACTTTGCAGGAATACAGTGTACATAGACCGTGCAGGTGTGCAAATACTGTACCAATTTACTTACAGACTATGGCTAACAAGCAATGGTTTGTATACCCACCTAGGATAGCCAACAATACCGCCAGATGCTTGCTTCCAGTAGGGTCCTTTGCTCAGGCTTGGTTACTGATCATTTAGAGAAAATATTCAAGAATAAGTTATTTTTTTATGAATACAATATTGCATTTAGAGACCAATGTTTTTTTTTTTTTGCCCCGCGCCCTCTAACAAGCCAGTTCTGACCCCCCCCCCTTCCTCTCTACCCCCTGATGTTTAAGTGTACAGATTTTTATTATAATTTGTTAAATGCGATATCAGTATAAGAACGAAATAAAGACATCTTACACTTGCAATAATTTTATTTAGTAATCCAAATGTTGTGCAAAACAAGGCAGAAAATATTCGCAGGGCTAACACAGCAGGTACTCGGTAATGAAATGGATTATACTAGTCTTCTATACCTTTAATTTCATATAACAATAAAAACAAAACGCATGAACACATTCTACAGTATATATAAAATTTTGGGGTGTTCTCTTTTGGCATAGATGTTCTCGTAAGGTGGCGCCCTCTGGCTTAATACATCAGAACCACTGGAGGCTATAGACTATCCGAGCTTAAACTAAGTTACTCTCACTGACTTCACTTCTTGTAAGATGACGTCACTGAGCATAATTACCGCTTGGTATGAGTCACTGATGACCATAAATGAGTGCACGTGATTTTTGTCCATGATTTATCTTCACTTAATTAGAAGTTTGTTATTGGTAATTTAGTTTACATTTAATCAGGCCGTGATTAACAACCAGGCATATTAATAGGAATTGTGATATCTGTAATAAATACGTTACTAATGATGGAAATAAAATGGAAAGGAAAAAATTTAAACTCTCCATTCTCATGATCGCAATACACACACACACATACACATACACACACACACACACACACACACACACACACACACACACACACACTAAACTGAATTTTAATTTTCCCGATGTAGTTTCGGCAATTACGTATTTTGTTAATGTATGACCCTTGTAACCGCATATTTAGTAACGCATACAAATTGCCGATAAGTATTTCCTGTATACAGCGCTGAGCATTACGCCTTTACTTGTTTCTCTGTGGTGCAAGTTCTACACCTTAGTAGTTATGATATACTTTAGTGAGTAGCAATAAGCTGTTGTCTATTAAAAAGTTTTATTTACAGCGGTGTGTGTGTGCGTGTGTGTGTGTGTGTGTGTGTGTGTGTGTGTGTGTGTGTGTGTGTGTGTGTGTGTGTGTGTGTGTGTGTGTTTCACAGCCACGTGAGGGAAGGCTGTGTTGCAAAGTATGGCGGTGTAAGATGTTTGCAAGGTTTATAGACCGGAACACAGGAGTGTCGTCATCTGATTAACACACAATTGTGTGTTGCTTGTTGTTTTTAGTAGCTCAAGTAAGCATGAAGTCTTGATACACACACACACACACACACACACACACACACACACAGATCTGATGTAAGAATTTCTTAAAGGGTTGGTGAAGCGTTACCTACGGCAGGACGTTGTTAAGACGAGACAAACACTGGATTTCAGATAACATTCTTCCACAGGATGTTGTAAAGATGTTGTAACTACATCTTACGAAGTAGCGTTGACGTTATAATGTTATTGCGCTTCGATAACTTTGGTGTTTAAGCGCGTAACAAGGTTAGTAATCACACTAGTCCATCAACAAAAATCCAAATATTATGATGGGTGGAACTAGCAGTTACACCGAACGATATTGCAGCTACCAGTAACATTCTATTTCAAAACGTCAATATATCACAACAGTCCTTGTTCAAGTGTTCGTGTACCCGGTGTAAGCATTCCTAGGAGGGGAGGAATGAACCACTTCTCTGATATAATGATTCTTGGAAATTTCACCAGACTTAAAGCCTTGTTTCAGTACTCACATTGCATTCATTTGCATTGGCGCAGATTTGTTGTGACTGAAGGGGGGGGGGGTGACTTCCTAGACCAGTGAGAACATCGAATACCATCTTTGAGATTGTTGCATCACCGGTGCTTGAGACATTAAACAATCCAATGATATCGTGGGTACCAGCAACACAGACAGCAAAAATCTGATGCCGTTGAATGTCGCTTGCAAGTTTTCTCAATATGATGTGGCAGTAAATTTGTCTTTCTCTCCATATAAAACCGTAAATCAGGGTCATTATGCCCCAGAAGCTTCAGTTACTGTAAGAAGTTTCCTTCCTCTTCTGTATGACCGAGAAATACGAGTCCGCTAGACTTTGGTTGAGTAAGTAGCTCACCGAGTTGAAGATTTTGACGAGGCTTTTACAGGCTGCTTCTTGCTGCTTCTTATTGTCATCATCCAGTAGGACATTAATGGAGGGCGTTTTCATTGAAGCTACTTTTGATAACATGTGTTCACTAAACTTCCTTGGCCTTTTTCAGTTGTCAAATCCAGTCGAAATAAAAGTAGGCTCTTTAGTCCAGTCAAATTAAGCTTATTTTAATTAAATAAATGCACTAATTTATAAAAAAGCTGTATGGAAGTTCTCTAAACCTGTAGAAGCAATATATCAAACTCCCCCACATAAATCCACCCTGAGCTCCGTCCGCCATCTTGGAAAATGACCGCCAAATTAGTTTTTTGCCATTTACGTGGAAACGGTTGGTCTGATGACAAAAGCAGTGGAGAGCGAAATTGCAGAGTGTGAAATTTCCTACAAAAAGAATCTTCTGCACTTTTTCTCTAAGAATGACTGTTTCGAAGATATAGTGCCTTTGTTTCTTTATATTCAAATTACAGCAACATTACAGTACAGCAAAAACACAACTATTGTTTTCGATGGATACAGTGACACAATACAAAAAAGGCTGAGGCAACGAAGATCTTGCTTACTGCGAAACACTCACATCATCTTCCAATGTGAGACAAATGTTGATCAGGAAAAGTTACTAGGAAATGAGCATAACAAATCAGGATTTATAAATCAACTATCAGAAAAAAAAATAAGTAATAGCAGTTTATCAATGAAACAAGCAACTGATGATGTAGATTTATTAATTATTCAGACAGCTGTACATCAGTCTTTAAACTGTTCAAAAACTGTTGCTGTTGAAGATGGAATTGCAATGGTACAGTATTATTAAGAATTACGTTAATATTGTCGTGGAGGGGGGGGGGGGTGATTATATAGGAAATACAGTAATTCAACTCCATGTAAAGGGTGATGCATTCCCTCCACCCCCCCCCCCAGCATCTCAAGTTAGCATTTTCTATTGGTCTATTTCAGCCAGGTTGTTAAAATGTAAAATATTTCCAAGTTCATCGTGTCTCAGAATCAAGTACTAAAATGAAACATGTATATGTTGGGATCAAAGGCCGAAAACGACCACAACGCGTTGTGAATGTTTTCAAAAGAACCAGAAAATGAAATTTTGCGTCTTGGGTTTTACCCAAAAGATACAACCTAACCAAACCTAATCAAACTCAACCCAAACAAACCTAACCTAACCTAACCTAACTTTACTTTACCTTACCTTACCTAACCTGTAGCAAAATTTCGCTTTCTGGTTATTTTCCAAACAAAGTTTTCGGTCCTGAAGCCCAACACATACATTATCCTCACCTCACGTGATCTCACTGCCTAGTGCCGCACATAACCCTCATATGGGACACCCCTCATGGCAGCAGCCAATCATTCGTTTTTTACTTTTTATATTATGTTACCCAGAGGAGGGGAATTCCATTGCCCATTGTGTAATTTATTCTCAAGTCAACAGGAAGCAAAAGCTTGACTTGGCATATCGCTTGAAAGTTAACCCTCCGAATATACAGTTAACAAGGGTGAATGATGGATGGAGTCATGTTTAGTGTTGACTCATAATCACAACACAGTGTGTGGTCAGCCACTAAGACCCATTTGATGGAGTGACCCAAGTATTTGGTATACATGTCAGCTAGATTATTGATATTTAAAAGTCATCTGCGTTTCAGTAAGGTATATTATGTGCGTGTACATGTTTCAGGTGATGTAAAGGGCAGTGCCACAGTTGAGACATCCCTCACCCCGAGCGTGGGAGCTCCTGGGTCTTCCGATGCCTGGCGTAACTCGGCGGGCAGCGCCAGCAGCAGCGTGGCGGCCAGCACTGGGATGGGCAGCAGCAGTGTTGGTGGGGACATGAACGTGGGTGAGGCAGAGGAACGACTCCTGCGGGGTGTGGTGAGGGGTACTTCCTCCTGCAATAGGTTCATGACACTCCATCGTCGGCGCCGCCGCAAGCCACCCACCAGGCTGATAGGCTTAGAGCAGCATCACCAAGCCCTCCTTGACGACCTCTACCATGGACCCACACAAGTGAGTTACTGTGTGCTTTCTTCATCATGTACTAATGTTTTTAATAATGTCTACGTATGGTATATTTTGTAAGTAGTAATTATTTAGTAATTATTTAATTATTAATTGTTTCCAGTTATAAAACTTCAGTACAATACCTTGACATGTACTGATCAAGATAAGTCATTATGCCATAAAACTACAACTGTTGTATATATAGGCCCTATACAACAAGGAACTTTGATAATTAAATAAGCATCCTTCTTTTAGATTATTTTGTTTACGTACTGTACATGTGTATGTACCGTATACATGGGTGTACGCGTACCCTACATGTTATGAATAAACACTCATTAGCACACGAATACAGTATGCTTCTGGCCGTGTGTGTGTGTGTGTGTGTGTGTGTGTGTGTGTGTGTGTGTGTGTGTGTGTGTGTGTGTGTGCACGCGCGCTATTAAAGGGGAGAATGAAATTTGTATATTTTGTCAAGACTGGTAAAGAGTACACAATGGAAACATGGACAAGATAAATTTCGATAAAACCACAGGAAAGGGGAAACACTGGAGCACCTTAGCTTTCATCTTCATTCAAAACATCTTCAGATATACTGTGTATATATATATATATATATATATATATATATATATATATATATATATATATATATATATATATATATATATATATATATATATATATATATATATATATATATATATATATATATGCCCATGGAGAGACCTAATCAGACAAGAATAAATAGATAGGCATGCAGGATGAGGTATTAGGGAGAGAGACAGTCTGTCAACCAGGAAGAGACTTTACCTTTGACCCATGTGACCACCACTAGTGACCCCACTTGGACTTACCCTACCTTAGGTAATTCCAAAGTGATCCACTGCCACATAGCAGTTAATCCATCAAGCAGACCGCGCCGAACTGGGCCCGTAAACTCACACAAGTTAAAATGTTTAAATTGTTGACTATTTATACTTATTTCACTGTTACATTTTTGTAGTTACCTACTCTTAGGTGAAGAAACAGTCATGAATTGTGTGTGAAGACTAACTGGAAAGGTAAACGGGTAGATGAAGGAAGTCCAAGCTCTGTCAGAAATTGCTAAGACTGAGTCACATGTGTAATTGGGAAATTATGTTCAATCTAGGAAAATGTTTACATCTTACTGGGAAATTTCTGGTTTGACTGTGTAGGAGCCCTGGCCACGATGTCTCAGTTTGTATGAAAGACTGTAATGTGCAACTGCAGTACTCTAAGTGAGGGAGCACTATACTTAAACTGCCTTATGTGACAGACCAAACATAATGTGGTGCTCACTCACATAGTTTATAATACTGTACTATACATACTGTAATTCTCTTTGGCGTCCAAGATATACCAGTACTAAAGACTGTTAATTGATTGAGAACTACCAAAGGAGGGCCCACTAAACCATTTATTGGGAGTGATTGAAACATCTATGGTTACCTAGTTTATACTATAGAAGGGCAAGAGACAATTTAATAGAAGGTCACAAATACCTTATAGGGACTACTGTACTCAGTCAAATGTACCATACGTTTTTGTAGTTGACAGATGGCATTTGCTCCAATAGAGATCACAGCCCTAAGTTAAAAAAAGATACTTGTATTAGTACAGAAAAAAAGGAAAATCTATGTGTTGGGAGCTTGTAAAATAACCTACCAGAGAAAATTTTAACAGACTTGAACAACACTGACACACGTTCAGGTACAGTATTTAAAAAAAAAGTATCTGTCCACACTGTGTGAAACATTATGAGACCACAGATGATAGATATTGGGACATGCATTTGCTTTTGTATACTGTATAGTTTAACATAAGTAATGCAATGTTTATATATTTAGGCATAATTAATATGATGTTCAGTTACTGTAACCGCCCAATGAGCGACTGTGGGATAATGAGACCCTTGCACCTAGGATTCGATTGTTCTTTATTCGGTCAAAACCTGCAGAGTACAAATTACATATGTTGCATATGAGATAATTAATTCACTCGTACGTTCCTTCACTATTAACAAATACATTTGATATATTTGAGTAGAGTAGGGTGTTAAACCATATAAAAACTTATGTGTTTCGGGTCTAATATAGGACTTAGCTCCCTGACTTGTTAGCTCACTGGACGGCTAGAGACTATCTTCTGAACCCCACAGGGTTTGAGACAGCCAGAGGCGAGGGCCATCTGTTTCACATTTAACACCTCAGCAAAGTTCTTTGTCAACACTCTGTCTCTCTCCTGTCTCCCTTTCTCTCTCTCTATCCCTCTATTTCTCTCTCTCTTCTATTTTATCCTACTGTGGCGGTAACAATATTCCACACAGCCTTGCATGTCAACCCTCCCGGAACATCATGAGTTGCATGTAGCATTTCGATAGTCATTGGGCCGATCCTGGCAGTTACTTTTTTGAGCTACTGTATATTAAGAGTTCATACATGCCCATACAGTACTTGCCAACAGACAACAGAATGACTGCCTTACCAGGGTCAAAAATTATAAGTATACCAATGTTTCCACACTGTCTTTATTGGGTCATGAGGACTCTGACAACCACTCACTTATTTATGAAATATAAATTTTTATTTAAGCCTTCATATTTTTGTGATTTCAGTGTGTCCTATCTCATGTTGGCGTGTGGAGCTTCAATGCCTTTGCCCTGGACAGCGTGTGTGGGGGTCGTCCTGTATCAGTGCTGTGCGTCTACCTTCTGCACAAATATGGTCTTATACAACATTTTAATTTTGACACAGTTACTGTCTGGAAGTGCTTTAGTAAGTACTATACCTTCTCTTACTTGCGCTTTGTGGTCATACATAGAAAATTCGGTATCTTGACACCTTACCTACAACGTACTTCTTTGACTTAGAATTAATGGTAGATAGACTCTGTACTGCTAGAAATTGGGTATGAAAATTGAGAGGATTAATTAAATAATGATATTAATACTATATACTGTACATATTAGAATATGTTAAGGTTAACAGAACTTTAGAACTATAAAGTAGTGTAATAGTGACTGTAGAAAAGGATCATGTTAGATTTAACTTAATACTTCATATGCACTGGACTAGTACATGAACATCCCTTGTAATAAACATCATGATAAACTATTTTGCAGAAAAATTACTGTTAGACATATATTTTTTGCCTCAAGAAATACACAAACTAAGAGATACATAACTTGTGTGTTGAAAAAGCATTGTGGAGTTGGTTATTAATGTGTATATTATTTTTTATTAGGTGTTTTGAACTGCATTCAGTCATTTTAAATGCCATACATTACTACTAAAGTACAGTAAATGCACAAATTCCTCACTTTAGAAAAATCATTTAAGAATTAATGACACATCTAAACTGGTCACCATATCAATTAATCAGTCCCTGAACTTCTACGTGTAAAACCTTTGACTAAAAGAAACTTCCAACTGGTCAAGAAAGAATTTTGTGAGGTCAAAATTTATTTCCACTTTATTAGTTCTAAAACAAATAATTTGTCCATACAGTACAGTATGTTGAAGAATATTGATGTAGTTTTCTTTTTAATCCAGGTTTAATTGAGGACGGGTATCACTCATCCAACCCTTACCATAATGCCATCCATGCAGCTGATGTGACCCAGGCCATGCATTGCTATCTTCAGGAAGACAAGGTATTCCTTATATCTCTCTCTGTTTATGCCTTAGGTTCTGTTTTCATTTATGTTCCTTCATATCTGTGGCACCAGCATCCACTCTCCCTTCCTCTCTCTATACCCTAGTTAGCAGCACAATACCATATATTTACTGTATCTAGCAATCATTTTTTTATATGAGTACAGATCCAGTTCAAGCAATTATTGGGGGGGGGGTCCAAACTGATATTGAAGATATAAATAACTACTTACCTGTGAAACACAATCAACCCTTTGCAACACCATAAGACACCTGAAGATAACAAACAATACTGTGCATGTACCACATTGATCTTTAAACAGAAATCCCACTGTTTTCTTGTTTTACTGGGGTTTATTTTCTCCTACAGTGGTACTTCAGGGGACTAATGTTAAGAACGTCACCTAGCATGGCTGGAGGTCAGGAAAGACATCCCTCGATTAGATTTTTGTTTGTGAATTTTATGTTGGTATTGGTGAGGAGATTAAATGTGTGTAAATATTTGCTTTACCATCAATAATTTATATGTCAGGTTTTATTTTTATTTGTTTATTTAATATATTTTTTTTTGGGGTTGCATCTTACTGTGGACCCTACACCGAGGACTTTGTCCTTTGACCCTCTAGACTCCCTTCCCCACTTTGAATCTTTCTTCATATTTGCTGTTCACAAGACTAATTACAGTAATGTATGTACAATATATATTTTTTAATAAATGACCCTTTTTTAATAAGTAACATACCGTTTGTATTCTCTTACTCTGTTTTTATCATCTGTAATGGATGGTAATAGAAAAGAAAACAAGTAAAGTGTAATATCTACAACCTTTCTCATGCAATTTTTATTTGGCAGATTCGTGAGCACATGACCCCCTTAGAGATGCTGGCAGCTCTGGTTGCTGCCGTATGTCACGATCTAGACCACCCAGGGGTGAACCAGCCATTCCTTATTGCAACAGATAATCATTTGGCTGCACTTTACAAGGTACAGTACTGAAAGTTACTAAAGCCTGCAAGTAGGTTTTGTGGATATGAGGTATGAAGGAAACAGTCAAGCATTACTGAAGTATTGGTTTGTGACATTCAACATAAAGAAGAATATCATTTTTATTATCTCAACAGGATATGATGAGACTGTGCATTTCCCCTTTTCTAGAACCTAAGTGTGCTTGAAAACCATCACTGGCGGTGTGCAATGGGTTGCCTCTGGGAGTCTGGATTATTAGACTCCTGGGATCCAAAGGATGTTTCATCACTGCAGGACATGATCAGATCTCTCATTTTGGCCACAGACATCACCCGCCAGCAAGAGTTTCTCTCAAAATTTAAGGTATATTTGTAATCAGTTTTACAGGATACCGTTTTATTGACTTGTGTTTGCATCATTATTCAGAGACTGTTTATGTTACGTACGCAATTATATAATTTGGATTTGGGTTAGTAATTTCTCTTATTTTTTTTAGTACATTTGCAAGCCTTCCAGTGACTTGAATTACTTTGTTGACATCCCCTGCCCACCACCCCTCACTGTCCTGTCCACCTCTCTGCCCTGCCCACCACCCCTCTCTGCCCTGCCCACCACCCCTCTCTGCCCTGCCCACCACCCCTCTCTGCCCTGCCCACCACCCCTAACTGCCCTGCCCACCACTCCTCACTACCCTACCCAGGCTATCATCCTCACTACCCACCTGTTGCCTTAACTAGTACCTTTGTTTAGAGAATATTTTACCCATAACTACTGCAAGTTCTCATGAATTGTCTGTTTAAATATTACATACAGAAGGATGAAGTTATTATTATGTGAAGAAATACTCCAGAAATGATCACCATAAATTAATCATACTGTTTCTTGCTCTTTATGATGACTAAGTTTCCATGATTACAAAAGTTTCCATGATTACAAATGCTTCATGGTTTTTATGCTGGACTATGAAGTGTAATAATTTTTTTCAGCACACAAATAGCAATGCATTGTAAGTCTGTAGTGATGTTGAATAATTGTTGAAAATTATTTACTGTATACAGTATCTCGTGACACAAAAACGGGGTTTGTATGTATGAGAGTAATTTAATCATTGGAATTTTACAGAGGTACTTGGACGCTAACAGCTTTGATATGAGGGACCCAGACCATCGCCACTTCTCTCTTCAAATTGGTCTTAAGTGTGCTGACATTTGTAACCCCTGCCGACCCTGGGACATATCACAGAAATGGTCTTACAAGGTAAAGTTTCTAACCCAATTTTACAGTATAGTACAGTATATTGAAAAACCTCATTGTTTTTAGTAATTACGTAGTTGAAAATGACATTATCATCTACAGTATATTATGTACTGTATAACTGCAATTATGTAAATGAGATACTCGAAGCTTTGTACAGTACTTTGATATCAGATAGGTACTATACTGTACTGCACTATGCTTAGGTGAGAACAGTTTGGTGGTTTTATTTAAGCTTGGTGTAGCAAGTGTTTGTTTTTTCAGGGGATAATTATGTCCTGTCTTCACAGATATGTGACGAGTTTTATCGTCAAGGTGATTATGAACGCCAGCTGAACCTTCCCGTCACTTCATTGTGTGATCGTTATGTTATGTCAGTGGCCAAAATCCAAACAGGTATGTTCATATTTGAATATAATGAAGATGTAACATAAAGAAGAGTGATAGATATTTATTCAGTAGAAACATAGATGCAGTAGATTTTATTCAGTTAAATCATCATACAAAATATAATGTTAGGAGTTAGATGGGGTAAATCATTGGTACCGTAACTATCTTAAAAGAATAACCTTCATGCTGTACAATGTGTGTTTTTTAATGATTCCTCTGAGGTGGTCATTTTGTGAACAGAAAGTGTGCCAACATGCTCGAGTATGTTTCTTATATAGAGGTGCTGTATAACCTTTAATTTCTGCCTGTATGTTTCTCGATCTACTGTAGTATGTACAGTACTTCTCTTCCACTTTTGTATGTGTTTGAACAAGAGAAACAGAGACCTCTTGAAAGGAGAGGAAATTGTAGGGGAGATTTATGTGAGAAAAGTGTAAACAGTGACAGGAAAGTGGTGAAACAGTGTGTGTGTGTAAATACTCCACATACTGTACACTTTTATCTAATGTACCGAACAGATCATAATCTCAACATATTTTATTGTCACTGATACAGGCCACTATTCAGAGACATGAAGGGTGATAAGGTTTTGACGGCCTCATTTATTGTTTTGTAAACATGCGTAAAATTACAGTATCAGTAAAAAAGTCACATTTAGTTCCTATTCTTGCATAGTTTCAAACACTCCTCTCTGTTTTCTTCTTTCTCACTTATTTGCTTTTTCTTCTTTTTTGGAATTTACAGTATCATCATCTTCTTCCACTAAATTCAACAACAAAATATTTTTTTTGTATAAATTGTTGTTTTTGACAGTTTTCTTAACACTTACAATTACTGTACTGTAGTCTAACTAGAATGTTATTTGACTGAGCTGTCTGTTCTTGCTTCACACATCTTAATAATGAACTGTGTGGTGTACTTCTTACCTTCATTTTACTCTGTTTTTACCAAATCATTTAATTATTATGAGGAAAAACATCTCATCACCTTTCACAATTTTCAGGATTCATCAAACATGTTGTCTCACCACTATTTGAAGATTGGGACTGTTGGTTAAGAACAAAACTATCAACTTCCATGGTAAACAACATGAATAAAAATCTTGCTCTGTGGGAGGAGCAGCTCGCTCAGGAAGCTGCTGAGAAAACGACCACGGATATCCCCATTACCTCACTGGACTCCCCACAAATGGCAGAGGAGGGTACAGAAGAGGACCCAGATGAGGTGGATGGGGTTACTACTCCTAGTAGTAGTGGAGATAGTCATCAGAGTGTGTTAGGATCCTTAGAAAATTTATCAAGATCACTTCAACTTGGACGAAGACACTCTGTGCCCTTAAACCAGCCTCGCCTGGTTCCCCGCACAGTTATAAGGAGGGAAAGTTTACCTGAGGTTGGGGGCCAGCCTCTTGTGGTGGAAACTGTGATGATGGGAGGTCTTTCACTAACCTCTTTCTCATCTCACGTTTTTGATCCCAATACCACTTTAACTGCTGAATCCCTCCTACCTGACCCTTCCATCACAACAATGGGTGGGGTGAGCAATGGACGATCACGCCTCACTTCTAGACTCACTCGCCGAAAGTCCCTCCCTCCACTGTGGTCACAGCATCCACGTTCACGACCTTTGCAAATATTGAAACCAATGTCACCTACCCCCAGTGAGGATTCCACGTCCCCTCAGAACACTCAGGAAAATTCCCCACCCTCTGATGAGTCCGAAAAAAGAACAGAAGTTGTGGGTAACTCTGCACAGGGTAGTGGTGGGGACAGTGGTAATGATTGTGAAGATAGTGGTGGTTGTGGTGGGAGCAATAATATTGGTGATTGTTGTGAATCCAACGGACAAACAAACAGGTCAACAAGGGGTGATGCTGTGCCCTCAGTGCGGGAAAGTGGTGTTCACAGTAGGAAGTCTGTTCAAAGTTATCAAGGTGCTACATTCCTTCACTCTGACTGCTCAGATGGTCTTCATTACCGAGCTCTAGGCGGCAAGGTGCTAGTACGTCGAGCTTCATTAGATAGTACGAGCATCAGCAGTAAGCGTGAGTTCCTGGACCGTTTAGCACACGAAGGCAGTAAATTTGCTCGTGTGGAACGATCAAACAGTGAAATGGATAAAGAGAATAAGGCACCACGGGAACCACTAATCACAAGGGACCGACAGGTACCTTTATGGAAAACTCGTGCTTGGCGAAGCCTCAACTATGAAGATGAGAATACTGGTGATCCAAGAGAGAAAATGATCAAGCCCGGCATATACAAGCTCAATCAAACTCAGGTACAGTACAATTTCTCTTTTATTGATTAACCTTAAATAATTACATATTTAACCCTTAAAGTGTGGGAGGTAGGTTTTCCTAAGCTAAATAAGATTGTCTGGCAGTAGCCAAAATATAATTATAAAGTGTGGGAATCGCATCGAAAGGATTAATAGTTATAAATTCAGAGTTGGATAACAAGATGCCAGACAGTAGGAATGAGTAATGGAGTCACCTGATGTAAATGGGAAAGAATTCGAGGAAGCAGCAGTGTGAGTAGTTGAGTGGAGAGCACAGTGGATGGACCTGCTACTGGTGGGGGATCTTAAGTTGTGTGGATTGTGAAGTACCTGTAACATATAGATCTCTGGGGCCTTGATATAAGAAGGGGAACATCTTACCATGAAAAACAGCAGAGGAAGGATGAGTCTGTGTTTACTCTTGATTTTGTCCATCCTACATAATAGTTTAAACACAAAAAAAGAAGATTCATTTGCTTTCCTTATTTTTTATTGAAATGTACTTCATGCTCATTCTTCAGTATTCTTCACACAGTAACTACCATTTCTCTCATTTCTGTGGAATCCACTTAGCTATATGTCCAGTTGTATGTCCCTGTGTCTGTTAATTACCACCTTTATTAAAAACTTAAATGTAAAACAACATGTGTGGTGTCATTATATGCTGTTGGTGTATAAAACGATGTATGAGCACAATAAAAGTCAAACCTGTAAAGTGAATAGAAGCTAAAGAAAAAAATCCCCGTAGTTTTTCCTAGTTTGTTACCTTACCCCTTATTGCTAGTAAACCCCATACAGGGTTTATAGTTTATTTAGAATTTCATAATTATCATGTTATCCCAGCGTTTCCTTAAAAATGCCAGCAGTATGCAAAGACTTTCTCCATATTACTGTTGTTAAAATGTCAGTCATTGTTTTTTGCTCCCCAACTATTTTCACCAAGGTGTTAGTTCAGGTATGTATCCATGAGATGTCTTGTTATGTGGTGAGATCCTGCTGTTAGGTAAGGCACCTGGGGACATAATTGTCTGTGTCATCGTTGTAACTAATAACTGTTTACCTTTACTTTCAAATGAGGATGTTTTCCCTGAATATTGGCTTTTTGCAATAATTTTTGGAATGCTAATGACCAGTACAAATCCACAGGGAAGTATGTTCGCTCATGGTCGCCGGGGTTCGGCTCCACTTCTACGGCCTGAAGAATTATGGGGTGGTCTCAGAGGGGGCGCAGAGAGGCCAGATCAGCGTTACTTGTCCACTCGTAGGGGATCAGCACCATCACAACCAATCCATCAAGGTAAGTTATTATGAAGTAATTGATTACTTAGTAGCTACAGTTTAGGAATTTCATGCTTTATTAGATTTACTAGAAGTTGTTAAAAAGAGATAGTGTATGCTTTTACCATAAACAAAACCTAGTCCTGATTGTTATGATTTATGCTACACCACATTTTTCCCACAGTATTGTACTTTCTGCAGTCCTCTCTTTTTTCTTATCTTTTTTATAAATAAAATTTCATAGTGTAAGTAGATGTAAGTGTAGAAATAAATGCAATACACCTCCATAGTATTCAAAGAGGATTTAGTTGTATGGTCTCATGGTTGTCTTGAGCAAAGGATTTTTTTAGTTTTTGGCTGTCATGCTGATTTTATGGGGGTAGGTATTGCATGTAGAGAGACCAGGTCTAGCATGAGAGTTAGTGTTAATTTCCTTGGTTATTCAAGATCCTCACTGGGCAATCTTTATATAAACAATGCATTAGTACCACATATTTTAGCCATTTTCATTTGTTAGCAGTCCATTTAAGCTTTACTGGTCCCCTTAAAGAAATAAGGATGATATTTTCTTTAGATTTATCTGGGTTTAATATTTTTGTTGAGGGAAAGTTCATATGATATTCCAGTGCTTATGTGTTTCTGTTTCTTTCATATGTTTACCATGATGTTTGTTTACTTCTCATATCATGAAGTACAAGACAACTATATTGTAAATTAACCAACTAAGAATTTGGTAGAAGGTCATCTTTGAACCTATACTCTGTAGTTAATTCTTGAGCTGAATAAAAACTGATTTTTTATAAAACATTGTCTTTATTATATTCTGTCTAGTAAGGCTTGAATTCTCTGCTCTCTCTTCCTTTATGTCTACAATGCATTATGGCTTATCACTAGGTAGCACTTAATGTGTAGTGTATTGGAAAATGTTAAGCCACACAAAATTATTAGTGACCACTTCTTCATTGTTCTACCTTTCAGAATTTTGCCTGGACATTACTAACCTGCCATTATCCTTTCCTGTCTAGGGCTTAACAAGCTGAAACTTGGTCATGCTGGTGGTCTGCTTGGGGCGTGTGGTGGTGGTGGTGGTGGTGGTGGTGTAGGAGGTATAGGTGCCGGGAAGATTGGCGGCCTACCCCCATTAAAACGACAGCGCGCTTTTCCTCAGCCACTGAATCGCACTAATTCCTTTTCTATCCTAGAGCCTTTCATTGCTTCCATATCAGGTATGATTAAGATATCCCATTTATATTAGAATTGTTGTGCTGTGAAAACTAACTTCAATTTTATTAAGCTTGTAAAACATATAGGCATTCCCCAATTTATGAAAGGGTTTCATTCCTAAAACCTTTCGTAAATCAATTTTCATAAATTGGACCACATTTTCCGTAGGCTCCCATTGTAAAAGCTGAGACACTTTCCTACAAAAAATATACTTAAAATGCCAGAAAACATTTTTAATTAAAATTTTTGGTGTACATACTGTAATCTGAAATAATGCAGTACAGTACAGTACATTACAGTAGTAATTTTATAGCTGTACGTACTTCAAGAAACCGGATGAGATTTGAAACCTTGAACAGTATGAAACACTGAGCCAACGTCTCTTATAAATATGTTGCTTTAGTAAGGTAAACTTTGATAAACGATGGGACTAGGTTCCTGAAAACCCATAGCTAAATGAAATATCATAGATAGGGAGCATTATAACATGAGGTTTAATGGGATATGTTCCCAGCCAGTCTCCAAACACACATGTATCACCTCCAAAAAAATTCCTACACTCATAAAATCAATAGAAAACAATTAAACAACACTCACCACATCATGAAGAACAAACCTGTTCATCATCACATGTCCCCTTCGAGGCTAAGAGGACTGGAGACATCACTCTGACTCCCACACAGCCTCTGGGGAGTCTCATGCCGCTTCAGTGTCAAGCTTCACCTCAGAGACACAGTTGTCTTGGATGCCTTGGCCTTCCCAGACATTTTCAGAGTTACACTGCTTACTTCACATTCACAAAAACAGAGCAAAAGCACTTGTCACATCATTTTCACAACAATAATCACAAAAACACAAAATATCACTTCACAGTCAACATAACACAGTTCAATCTAAATGTTAGTGCTGTCCTTTCACTATAAGAAAAAAAAAACACCTATGATTAGTACAATGTACGATGCTGATCCGATAATTGTGAAGCAATGCGATGGCAGGTTTTTGATCGACAAAGAACCAAGTGCAGGGCTGTAGTGCGCGGGTTGGCCATGTGACGGTGTGTGGGTAGGCTTACAAGTGAAGGGAAAGATGCGTGGTGCATAGGGTTAAATATTGTTCCCTTATAAAATGTCACTGACTTAACGTAGAAAAATATAATTTATATTGCTGGAATCCTTGCAAGACAGTGATTAATTTGAGTATTGTATATACAATCCATAGTTTACACTAGAGATAAAAAAAAATTATAACCAATGGATATCGATGGATATTTGATGGATATCATTAAAGCGTGTATAGCGAGATGGTCTTAATTCGTGACCATCTTTAAAGTGAAATATAGCATTGCTGAACGAGACATCGTTTATCGAGGTTTACCTGTACAGTACATTGCAAGTGACAAATAATAATGATGGTGAAATAACTGAGCATTTTGGAAGTAAAAATAAATGTATTATTTTAGTAGTATACAGTATTTTCAGTACTGTACAGTGTCACAGTACTTTGGAAAAAATAATTATGAAAAAAATGTATAGTATATATATTTTTCGTTAATAAATCAAATCAAATGTTACAAAATATTTTGTATTTAACTTTGAATTTTTGGAAATTGAACCTTCAGGAGTAGGGGACTGCCTGTAGTTCTAAATGCATGTATGGCAAATTGTTAAAAATTCTGCTATTTTATTATACACTATGGTTATTAGTTCTGGAGAAAGTATCTGTTGATAACAGTACCCTTTCACAGCACGAGACAAAAAGCTATTCTAATGATTTTAGAATTTGATCAAGTTTCCTTCAGAGTGTGGATCAGTTGGCATGAGTTACTTGTTGAAATATGAGTAGGTGTGTGTCCTCTCTCTCCCATAGATAGTTATAATCTTCAGCTTGTTTCTGCCACTGATGGTCACTCTCTCTGGTAATTTTCTGCCATTGGTGGTCCTTCCTCTTGGCTATGATTCCATTATAGTTTTGGGAATTTTTCTATTTGGATTTGTTTTTTAGTTAATCTTTTTTCTTTCTCTTTGTGTGACTTTCCTGTAGTATCTCTATATATAATGGAACCCAGTTATAATGGACACCCTAAACCTATCGGGCAAACCCTCAGTATAATGGACAGGTGTCTGTTATCCCGAGAAGTTGTCTGATAGTTGTACTGTACTAGCTGGGGAGGTTTTCATTCTTCACAGCTGAATGACAAATTTTATTCTTCATTTGAGTGACATAAATCTGTACTCTAATTTATGTAGATGAATATCAGTATACAGTATGTTCAAGGGTGCTGCAGAATCCTTTCTTTGCATTCTCTATCTCATTCCTGTGATTTAAGGAATTTTACTGCTACTGTATATGTATTAAAAAATAATTAAATAACAGAGGTCAGAAACTGGATGGTGGTAAAAAGATTCTGGAAGTGAAAATAAAAGTTACTCAGATTTGAAAAAGAGGAAGAAGGAAATAAATAAAATAGAAAAAAACACTGCAGAAATATTGACTAAAGCTCAGCACATAGTATAGGTAAGCTAGGGACTTTTACCTCCTGCACTGGTAAACAAAGTCATGGGAACTGCCTTAACATGAAGAAAAGTAAAAGGAAAGAAATTCAAATTAGATGGGAAAAATATGCCTTGGGTAATTGATGAAGAAATAAGAAACAGAAAAATAGGATCCATGTTGACTTCAAGAAAAGTTTTGCAGGACATTAGGTGTAGTCGTGGCCTCGGTGTACTCTACCTATCATAAGAAGGCTTTCTAATTTACTGTTCCCATGTTGCTCCTTACCCCCTGTATGACCAAAGCCAATTGTTGTTATCTTATTTGTTTTACTCATTTTAAAACAAGACATATGGGTAATTTATTTATTTTCTTGTTAAGTGATTTTGCATGGAATACCATAATGTTATTTCAAGAAGTACAGTAAAGTATGGTAAATAGAGATTGAGGATTTGTCAGTAATATTTATATAAGGAAGTGTGAAGAAAAGAAAGAGAGGGATGAGAGTAAATTTGAAAGTAAGGTCAAATCTTTTGTCAGCCATTTCATGTAGTTTTTATAGTAATGGACGTCTGAGCTGCTGCTTTGGAACTCTTTGATATGGTTTAGATAATTGAGGAAATGAATGGATACTATTTACAACAAGGATAACTGAAACTTGAGTTTGAGCTTATAATTATAATTTTTCTCAGGGTCGGATACTGATAGTGGCCCAGAGATGCCTGGGAGTCCTCGCACACCCCTGACATCAACTGAAAATCTTCCAATAAGTGACACTCCATTCGGCCACTCGAGACTGAGGGGACGACGAGGCTCGGTGCCTTTTGATGTTCCTGGATCAGATGTGGGTTTTGAATTATCACTGATGAAGGACCATTCTGAAAAGAGGTAATTTAATTTACCTGTATTTATCATTTAACCTTTTATCAGCTCCCTAGCCATTCCGATGGTTGGTCTCTTCTTTATTACATTGTCATGACCTTTTTGTCCAGTGTAAAAACAGGAGATCAGAGTACTACTGTACCCACAGAAAACCTGTGATGTTTGGTAGGGTCACACTGGGTAACACTCTTCTCACATCTGTCCCAGGCTGGGGGTTGAGCCCAGCACACAATAGCAAGAGATACATACACTACCACTTTACCACTATGGTTATATACATTTGTTGTACATTTCTAATGAATCACTGTAATTCTGCATGATTGTTTATGAGTATCTCATGTCAAATTTTCGATGTAAAAATATACCATACGTAGATACCAGGATATTATACTTTTGGGAATGTGAATATTAACTAGGTATATAATGTTAACTTTATCATCAGTTTTATAATTGTATCTTCCATATTATTAATAGCTTTGGATCTAATAGATTGTGCCATTGATTTGTAATAGATTTAGTCGACGGGGTTCTGGTGGTTCAGAGATGCTACCGTCCCTGGTAGCTCGAGCACATTCTTCTTTGTCTGCCACTTATGGAGGCCATGGGGTGTCTGGGGGTGGCTCAGGGGGAGCTGGAATTCCCTCATCCATGGGACATCATCACCAGGACTTCCACAGGGGATCTGGAGGTCTAGATCTATTTGCAGGATTATGGAGGTTAGTGAAAACTTGTAACTCAATAAAATCTTTCAAACAATAATAATAGTAATAATAATAATAACAATATTAATATTTATTCAGGACTCACACTACCCTATTCTTGATCAAATTACATTGGTTTCCAATTAAAGCTAGGATAGAATTCACTCAGTCTAATGACTTTTATGGCACTACTGTTTGGTGAGCCTAAATATTTGGCCATCTTACTAATTCCACTGGTTACACATTCTAAAATAATTTGGCGTAGTAGTGATGATCCTTTACGCCTTGAGGAGCCTAGAGCAGTATGGGAATGTTCTTTTACTGCCCGATCCTTTCCCTGTATAGCACCCAGATAATGCCAGATTGTACAATCTGTTGCCTGCATCCCTGAAGCATTTGACTTCTGTGGAGGCCTTTAAGAAACATCTTAAGACCTATCATTTCTTAAAGCTAATAATCTTGAACAGAATATGGTGATGGAGAATTACAAGGTTTAGGAAGTATTAAAAATTATTTTACTTTTTAATTTTATCCTCTTTGCCACTTAAGGGTCTATAAATGATAGAAGTTGAACTGCCACTTTTTGTGATCTTTTATTGTAGTATACAGTATTTCTTTATATTCTCAAATCTTTGACTATGTAGTGTTTCGAGCACTAGTGAATTCTTTAGAAGAACTGACGCTTTTGAGAAACAAAAGAGCAGCTATTATTATTATTATTATTATCATTATCATCATCATCATCATCATCATCATCATCATCATCATCATCATCATCATCATCAACCTTATTGTTATTAATTATAAAATCATCTTACAATTTTACAATTGGTTTGGCATGTATATAGACAATGTAGTTACCTGTACAGTACTGCATACACTTCAGTATGTGTATAAACAATTCGGCTAGCTTTTTGGTGTGCACAAACTGTGATGATGTATAATTTCCTGTGTGCCTAAACAGTGAGGGTATATACCAGAAACAGTAGTGAGCAGTAAGGAAATTCAACCAAGATAACTGACAAAGCCAAAGTAATTTTACAATTCAGTTCAGTTTTATTCAGTAAAATTGTCATACAACTTTACATTCATTCAATTTGTGTATACAGTATACAATTCAGCATGTACAGTCCTCTTCACAAGTGCGTTTAGGGGCTTGTCAGATTTTGTGCAGTGTGACAGCTTAAATTTGTTTACATTCAAAAGAAAAAACTTGCAACAGTAAACATGCTATGGAATCAAAGTAAAACAAAATTAAAACAAATATCTCAGTGGAATGATTTGTGGAATATTTATATGATGAGCCCCTTTAAACACACTAGTGAAGAGGACTGTACACACACATTGCAGTTACACAATATACATGTAGAGTGCAGGTATACAAAAATTATACATACAGTGTGAGTATAGAATTGCCAGTAAGGCAATTTGACCAAAGCCATCAGATACTTATTTGCAGTAGGGTCCTTTGCTTAAGCTTGTTTGCATTTCAGTAATAGTAAATCTTCAAAAATAAATGTGAAAATTTGTGGTAAAAATTTGAAATAAAATATTCCATAAATATTTTGTACACAGGTCTCATCTAGAAACAGGAAGTTCATTACATGATGACCATGACCTCTTTTCTCAATCGTCCGGTGGCATGACCCCCAGTACCCCAGGAGCATTGCCTCCCCCCAGAGCGGCCATGCCACATACCCTCCACAGACGCGGTTCACTGCCAACTGACCTCTTTTACTCAGGTCAGTAGTTTTTCCCATTGGTTCACAAAATTTTGTAAACTGTGCATTGAAAATTTTGAATATTACTTAGCAAGGTAAGTTATTACTGTGTACAGGGTATATAGCTAGAAGACACAGTCTCATATTATTGTACTGTATTCATAGTCATTTCAAGGATCAGAAGGTAAACAGTGAGAGTCTTGGGCTGGGATGCTAATGGGTTGTTTGAGGTCCTACAGTGTTTTTTTTTATGGAGAATAGCCCACCCAGGCATAGGTCATCAACCCACAATGGGGCCTTGGGGGACAAAAAAATTAAATATAGTGAATGCGCATAAAGTGAGGGGTCCAGTGTATGTGATAAATCAAACATTCTCTTATGTAGATGTATTCAGCTGTGGTGGTAGTTTTTCTGTTTGTGATTGAATTTGTAATTGTTAATATAATGGAATCCTTAGAAAGAAACATAGATGAATAATTGGTGCCATGTCTTTTTGTATTGTGGCAGGGGACCTCAGTGTGTGGGATAGTGAGGGGACATAGCAACATCAGTGCTCGGGCCCAGCGCTTCCGCCTCAACCCTATCCTTCTGCCAGCCTCCAGTGCCAATCTTCCAACTACACCACCGTCAGCCCATCTGTAAAAGTATATATTAATAGATAATACCTCCTCCAGGGTGCAGAGAAAGGGGATCATCTTTCCAGGCTTATGGAAAGGGGACTTGAAACATTGTTTGTTTCAGGGGAAGAAAAGATTCAAATGGTTTTTATTTGTTCTCGTCTTCCTGGTAGATGAAGAGATCACCTTTCTCATTTGCGCTTTAGGGGTCCAGCCCCTCTTTATATATTTGAAGGACAAGTTACCTACGCTGTACACTTTATATAGAAGTGGTCTTCTCAGACTCGGTATTAAGTATGGCGTTGAACATTTTTCAACATTAGATATGCTTCTGACAGTGGTAAAAGCCATTTTGTTTTGAAAATATGATGCGTTTAATAATTTTCCAAAGGTACTGTACATATTTTGTTATTGGCAGCAAATTATGTGTGCCCCCAAAATGGATCTTTCTTTATTCAGAAAGGAGTCAAAATAGAAGAATGTGTGTGTGTGGAACCTGTCTTTTATAGTGTAAGTGTCCAACACTGATTGCTGGAGCAAAAACCTCCGATCATCAAGGCTGTGATGAGGTCCAGTTTACCCAAAAGGGTTTGAAGAAGCAGTCATCAAGGATGGACCATTTTTTTGTAATGGATTCTGTATATTCATGGAAATATTAACATATTTTGGTGAGAATGTTATTTTTAGATTACCATGAATATAGAAAAGGATCAAAATTTTATCCCTGCTAAGAATTAGTTTTTCATGAATCTTTAGAAGTGTGACCCTTGTCTTGATGCATTGTAGTTTTTATGAGGGCAGGAAAATATTAAGCTCAAATAAGCTCAATTTAGTACTAACGTCCAATTATAGCCAATGTCTTCATGAGAATCCAGCTCGACAATCCTGGTTCATATTATTATGGAACATTATGTATAGATTTAAAAGGAATTAATAATAACAGGACTTTGTATTCAAGGAATGTATTCAAGTCAGTTGATACGCTATAGACAGTGAGCTACTTTTTTTTATTTAGGCATATTACAAGGTATGTCTCAGACCTCAGTTACACTTTTCCTTAGTTCTATACATACTGTACTTCTTTATGATGAAAAGTATCTGTACAGCATAATGTGACACTTGACAGTACTATTAAAAGAGTACTAACCCAAGTGCCTAAGTGCATTATAAAGTATTTTTTGTATCAGAAGTGAGTTAACTTACTTGAGTACATCACCTGAGTACAATCCTTAATGTATACAGTATCAGAATAAATGAAATTATTTATAATTATCTGCCAATTAGTTACTTGTGTCACCTGTGCCACAAGTAACGTGTCCTCCTGTGGTGATCCAGCCATTCGTTAAGGTACAACTCCCTAGAACTTCCTGTGTCTTGTTTCTTCTATGAACTTTGTAGGAGACAACGTTAACACAGGAGTCTATTCTTACAGCGTATTCCTACTTACAAACTCTACATCAATTATCCGTCACTTGTGGACTGTAAGTAATACTGGACTTTGGCCCATAAAACAAGATAAGGTAGTTATTGAATGGGGTGTGTGATTGAAGGGTAGTGTGGAACTCTTTCATCAGATGGGGTTGGTGAGTTTAGGTACCAACAACTTTGAGTACAGCAAAATAGGGTTGGGGGGTGGGGGTTGACTCTTGGGGTTTTTGTAACTGTTGTAGTCTTATTAAAGATTTTTACATCTGAAGTGCAATACATGATAACTTATATAATCCTTTTGTGTGAAAATTCATCAGTATTTTCTGTGGTTATATGTGTATTGTAAGAAGCTCTTGACCAGTACAGTACATATGACGTGTACATGTTATGTCTTCGAATATAGGCTGAGCTTGTGATGGTTATAAAGATAATCAAAGTTGTATAGCACAGTAAGTTTTGTTTGTATCTATGTATGGATCCTATGATAAATACATATGTTTATATGAATAATTATTTGATGTAATGATTTTTGAAAAAAAAATTTTTGTAGCTATGCAATCCGCTAGTTTATATGGAATGACAGCTTTGGTGTAGTTAGTACATACTGTCTCAATTTTTACATGTTATTGTTAGTAGAAGTTTATGGAAATAACTTGTAGGGATTCATTAAAGTTTATATTTTGCATTATAATTTATATACTGTACATTATAATTCATGAAAGCACTTTGAAGGTGAGGCGAAAGAGAAGTTACTCTGTAAGCTCTCTTGATGGGAGTAAATTTCCAGTTTTTAACATAAGATAAACCGTACCATAAGTTGCAAGAAAGATCTCAAATCTACCAAACTGCCTTAACTACCACTTATATAACATCATTTCTACAGTTAATTCTTCTTGGTTACATTTGAGATGCGTAGCTAAAGTGGTTGTGGAAATTGATGCTATAGTTTGGCTAGTATGGGAAAGTAAAATTTTCATGGTTGTCTTGAATTGCCATTTATTTAGTGTACCGACTAGAGTACTGACAGCCATCTCACAAGTGACATCTTGATAGTGGCAAACTTATGGTTGAATACTAGTGAATGGGAAGACAAAGACCACTGTATATTGTAACTTTGGTATAACAGAAATTGGGTATAACAGTAATAAGTTCAAGTTTCTTCTTAAAAAAGGAACATTTTTACCCAACGTTTTGTTATTGCTTTGTACAAATTCAAACCAATTTTTGTAAATACAGTACGTGTATGTCAGATTTTTTTCATACCCCCCCCCCCCTACTACTATAAGGCAAAATTCTTATTTTTCTTGCTCTATGCATACCCATGTTTCCCTAAAAAATGAAAGTACAAATTGGTCTTTAGAATTTATTTCATAATCAGGTTGTGTAAAACTTATCCAGTTATGGTCATTATTATTTTGCAGCCATGATGCCGATTCACTATTTATAGATGCTACAATAGATTCAAGTACAGTACTCAAGTAGATTGGCTTTATAATATTTTTTCATTTGAATTTTTATTAATAATATCTATGGTATTCTGTAGTGCATAGGATCATGAAGCCTATGTACTGTACTTGTGCAAAAACGACAGGGAGGAGTTATACTCCCAAGATTATTTACCTTGTAAACTATGTACTTGAGAACTATTTGGTAATCTTGGCCATGTGTCTGTAAATGAGACATGACAAAAAATTATGAGCTACAGATGAGACTCTAACAATGCTCATATGGTAGCAAAAACATTAAAATATGACCTTTATTGGATATGACACAAGCTCAACATTGCTGACCACCTCACATGTTTGAGTGACATCAGACAAAGGTGATTTTGGCAATGGCAGTGCTCAACAGTTACTCAATACAAATATTTGGAATAGCAACCAAACAAAATATTCTTGGTTTGAATGTTTGCTACTAATGGGCAGAGGAGGTTACAGTATGTACTGGATCACTATAATTTTACTCAAATTTCTTATGGTAAAGAAATGAACATAATAACATAGAGTTTTACAAATCTCCTTTGCTTATTGTAACATTCTATCCAACCCATGAAGGGCACAATTTTAATTTTTGTATAATGTATTATATTTTGGTGTTAATACTTTAATGTAGGCCAAGTTGGCTTATATTTTTATGTAAGAGTTCTTGTATAGTTTTTTCTTTTACCCCTGGATTTTGTGTTTTTGTTTTGTTTTGTTAATAAATAAGGTATTTAGCAACAAATTAATGTATGGTGTGCACAGTTCATACATTTCCTTTAAATACCTCATTAAGTGGTGCGAATTTTCCAACACAAGCAAATGTTTTGTTCCGAGTCGCAGCTGGTGTACTGTGTTGTGCTGTCGACCATTGATGAATATATTCACCAATACATAAAGAAGTGAACTATGACTACAAGAGTCTTCCTGTTGTCTTATAATTTTAAATGTTACGAGATATTTTGTATCATGATTCCATTGTCCTCTGTCCCACTATCTGCCAATTACTGTACTTCTTAGTGAGGAACCAGCCAAGATGATAAGCATGTGGTGTTAGCAAGGTTGTTGCTGAACAAAGTGTGGGGGATGTATTTTATGTCAAGATGATAAAAGTTTGTGTGCTATTAACTTCTGTTGAAACTTCATCAGGAAAGCAGTATTTTGATTGTACATTTTCATGTAGAATCATTCATAAATGGTCTAAGATAAAAAATGCTTCTGAATATTCCAGTGGTCATATATTCTTTATTGGTAATGCTTCGTAGAGGGAGTATAGGCATGTATTTACCTGTGGTTCTTGTCACTTAGATTGCACTCTTCAACACCTTGATTATCAAGAGCTAGTAAACAGAAATGATCATCTTACACAATAAGTAAGATATTCTAAACTTTGTAGGATTCCTTCATTACCTCATCATAAATAAGTAAATCATGTATGTGAACTTAGTTTATTATATATTCAATGATTAACTAGATCCTTGGTAATCAAAATTCTCTTTAACTGGGTCATGTATCAAAATTATTTTTAATTATGGTAAACTAAGGTGCAGTATTGAAAAACTTTAAGTTTTAATAACTAATGCCCCGAAAATTAACCGTAAATTAACTGAGCATCTTAAGATTCCAGTGCATATGACACCCCTTCAGTATGCTTTGTTGATGAAATTGAGGTAGTGCTCAGGGGTACAGCACTGTGTAAGTGAGTTTTCTGGAAGAATGTAAGAGCACAAGGCATGGCATGATTGTAATAAGTTGAGAAATGTAGTTTTTTTGGGGGGTGGGGTGGATGAGTCAATAAATGTCTTAGAGTACAGTAATTTAATATTGCCCCAAAAAATGTTAAGCAGTAGTTTTGCAATATACAGATAGTACTGTGATGATTGATACTCTTGGCTGCGAGCTGTCATCCTTCCGTGGTTGTGAGAGACAGCACAAATACAAATGCGAGGAAACAAGTCTTAAAACTGGCGGTGCATTTATAGTATATGATAAGGTAAGTACTGTATATTATTTCTCAGTATAACTCCAACTAAAGAAATTGGTTGTACATCCACGCATTTTATTTGTACTGTTCAAGTTCAAATTCTGTACTGAAAACTATACTACAACAGTATTACATCAGCAGGCCCACATTCATATGTAATCTTTAGTTTCTGTTAACGTGAGAGAACATGATAAAGGTATTGTGATTAAATGTGAGTTGCTTTGAAATTATTATTCTGTAAATACACAGGCTAAAGAGAACTTAAATACTGTGTACTGTACAATACAAAAAAAATTAATACTGTATGTACAGTACAAGATGACATGGAGAAATTTAGAGATAACATGATAAAAAACAATTGTCATGACACTGATTCATAAAGAAATTATTAATGGCAACATTTTCAATGATTCAACATAAGGTCTATAATAAATATTTATCTTTTAATTTCTGGTTGGAAAATGTCAGTGTTCTATAAGTTTTCTGAAATAATGTGGGGTTGCCTTCCTTAAGGCCTGATGCTTTATGGGTCAACAAAGATGGGTATAAGAACGATGCCTATTGCACATACACTTCTAGTTTGTACAGTCATTCCCCAATTTATGAAAGGGTTCCATACCTAAAAAAATCTTTTTATAAATAAATTTTTCAAAAATTGGATTACATTTTTCTGTGGACTCCCATTATAAAACCTGAGATACATCCTTACAAAAAATGCACATCCCCAAAATGTCTTAAAATGCCACAAAACATATTTTTAATAACAAATCTTGGTGTATACAATGATTAAGTCAATAATAAACATAAAAGGTTAAATACTGTACATGCAGTACAGTATACCGTAGTAATAATCTTACCTTTGTTTACAAGAAACCTGATGGGAAAACAAATTTCATAGCTTCAAATAGGTCCAGTATTTTGCCCATAAATTAACTGAGGCAAATTTTATTTCTTAGTAATTTTTTATTTTTGTAAACCAAACCTTCGTAAACTGGGGACTATCTGTATAAAGTGCAGTTTGATTACTTAAAAATTTAATTTTTATTTTTTGAAACCTTACAAATACCATAGGCTTGTCTATTTGGTAAATGGTATTTAAAATTGGTAAATCTAAAATGTCACCACTTTGAGCTACACTCTAGAGTACGTACATGGCAATTTTTTTATTTATTCTTATTTTTTTCAAGAAGCAAACTACAAAATGTATGCATTTATTTTCTTGCATGTGAAGCTAAACTATCAGATGGACAAATTGTCTTCTTGATTCATAATACTGTAGGCTATTCCTTTCATTTTGTCAAAGGCATCTATACAGAACAGCTTCTGCTTTATCATAGTATATACAGTACAGTATCTGCTTTGAAGGTAACCTTTTTGTCTATCTAATTTGTACATAGAATTATCTGTGGTTAAAATTCAACATGCCGAAACTTATGGGTAATATATGTATATAAAGATTTTTTATATGCATCTGGGCTTGCTGAATATGCTGTGATATAATATGTCCTTTGAATAAATATATAAATCATACTTGGATGTTTCAGTGCACACAAGTGTTTCCTTGGTGTTGTCACAGTTAAATTTCTCAGTTTAATCCAATTAGTTCTTAACTGAGGAATATTTTAACCATAATGTTTGCCATATGTGGTTAACACTGCAGGGGGCAAAATACTTGGTAATGTATCTTGTCATATTTGTGCCAGAAGCCCTAAGTGAAAAACAAATACCGTACAATACAGTACTACTAAAATTACATATACAGTAGTATTCTTTGTGATTTATTGGTACAGTACAGTAATTGAAAAATAGACTTTGTTATTAATATTTGGAAACTATTTTGCCCTTTGAACTGTTTTCCTGTGTTGATTTTTATTTATTTTTTAGTTTATGATGCATTTAATAAATTAAAATCTGATCACTGATGATACACAGGTGCCTGGTAATAGATCATAGAATCATATTTTAATCTGTTTACTATCTACAGTGGAAGATTGAACTTTACAAACTCAAAGAGTAAAAGCTTCATTAACCAGCATGAGGTTGGAAGACCTTCACAATAACAATGTTTTTAATTTCCTTTAAGCATACTGTACCTACATCTGCTGTTTTAGGGTTTATTGATTAGATAAAGTAACTTTTTAAGTGAATAAAGCATCAGAAGTCCACTGTTACAGCACCAGATGTACAGTACTATACCTTTACTGTACCTCCAAATAATAATACTGTGCAGTACAGTACTTGTACTGTAATAATAATTGGGAGAGAATAGGAGATGCCAATTAGTCATACAGTATGCCAGTTACCAGAGTTATTCCCACCACAGGAATACAGTACTGTAGTAGAGTACTATTAATACAGGTACTGTACAGTAAGTACTATAGTGGTAATAGTGTAGTTTTTGTTTCTTGAAGGTTTTATTCATTATAAACGTTAAATTATATTTAATCTAATGTAGGTACAGTAGTCACTGACGCCCGGAGTTTTGGTAATCACCCTCTTCCGTTGACGGGGGTCGTCGTGTTTACCACCAGAGTTTTAACAAAATTAAGTCACGAAGGGCACAGTACTGCAGTGCTTAATGGGGAGGTGTGTTGGTAAAATTAACTGGTGTAATTCCATTATTATAAAATTAATTTTACCGCCACACCTCCCTGTCGAGCGCCGTAGTACGGTGTCCTTCATGACTAAATTTTTTTAAACTCGGGCATTAGTGTACATCAACACCCAAAAATAAAAAAACAATAAAGTACATAAACTGTAAAAGCCAAAACTGCACAAGACTGTGTATAAATAAACAAATAGCCGGGGCATTTTTATTGGTGGATATAAATAATACTAGTTAAAGCATGTGGGAGAATAAAGTACTGTACAGATAATGAAGCTTTTGCTGTATTTTACCCCAACATATTTACTGAGCTTCATAGACGAAAGTGGACACTAAACAGCCAAAGGAAAATACAGTGACCCCTCGTTTAACGAACGCCTAGGTTAACGAAATTTCGGTTAACGAACTTTTCGGTTAACGAACGACCTTCTGGAACGGATTGAGTTCGTTAACCGAGGGGTCACTGTAATGTACTTTTAAATCTCCATTTTATTAATGCGTGAAAATATGTAACATATTTACATATCTGTACCATGTTCATGTATTTCTTTTGGCTTCCACTAAATTTCCTCTACCTCTGAGAACTAGTCATTATAAAAATTCAAGCAACTATGGAAACTGTATATACTGTACTGAACTGTAATTGTATACAGTACATTTACTGTATAGTATAGATAACTGCACTTCTCCATCACAACACATCACACACACACTCATTTAGGTAAATTTGGTGTTGGTTGTCTTTTTTTGTGTTTTTTTTATTTTTTATTTCACCAAATGTCCATATAACTTAAGTATTTTCTCACAATATTGGAGTTTATTTACACTAAGACTGAAATACTAGACACAAATTATGGAATCAAACAAAATACTGGAAAGTTTAAAAAAATTTATCTTGACTTGAGGCATGTATGTATGTGGTATATAACAATTATATAGTAACAATTGGTGATGGGTGACAGCAATAACAGGCAGTAATAAATTAGACATCAATAACTGGCATTAATTAGTAATTGTTATGTGGAGAGAACGACACAATAACGACGACATTACCTTGGACCCAGTTAACCGGAATTACAATTAATCACAGATTATGATATGCACAACATTGAATATGTATACTGTACTGTATTAGTTCATGTAGATTCATATTAATTCATAAAGAAGGATGTTTGATGCACCATATATACAGTCTCTCCTCGACTTACGACGGGGTTCCGGACTGACGACCAGGTCGTAAGTCGAAAAGGCGAAAATACAGTAATACTAAAATGGGTGTCTCTTTTTCTTCTCAGCACCACGAGAACTCTCACTTTTACTCTTGCCAGCCATTTTAAAGGGAATTACAAATGAAAATTTTGTCAGTACACAGCACGATCACTAATGTTGGGACTCGAAAATACATAATTTGAAAAATATTTTATGCAACTGCGGTGGTCGTGTCCCCGGGTGGTTGTAAGTCGAGGAGTACTTGTACTTGAAACAACCAACTTTATTTTACCATACTGTACTGTACTGTAGTCAGTCATACACACTCCATCATTCTATCTTCCTCAGTGAGTTTCATATCTTTTTATGACTTTTCGTCAGACATCAATCACATACCTTCATCTGCTCACTCTTAAGTGAATCTAGATCAATTTTGGATCATCTTATTTAAACATTCCAATGTGTTTTGTTCTTATAATTACAAAGCAAAGCAAACTATCACCAGCTGGAGCAAAGATCCTCTTGCGCATACTTTATTTTATTTTTTCTCACCCTGTTGGTGAAGATCATCAGCCCAGTTGATTGGTTGTTTGGTTAAATATTACTGTATGTTCAATGTTGATATTATCAACCTGACAAATGTACACCTCTTACATCTCACATCAGTAATACACTTAACAACAATTAGTTTATATTGTTCAAATATTACAATATCAATTACTGTTAATACTGTAAATTATTTTACAATCAATTATTTTGTGAGAATGATAAAAATAATGACATCATTATATGCCAATGATGGACAGATAATGAAAGTGATGTGTTGTTACAGAAATTATATTACTTTACCAGAGGCAAAATCTGGGCCTTTTCTTTTATTGTACAAGGTAGTAGATTATAATACAGTATATATTGTACTGTGATTATTCAAATGCAATCTTTAACTTTAAAGAACATAACTATGTTTTGTCAGTCTGTTCCTAAACGGACAGAATGCATTTTGTTGTTTATTTAATCCTCGTCTAAATAAACCTGCATCTTGGCTCTAGAATCAGCCACTGAACATTTAACAGCAATATCATGAACCCATTCAAGTATATCTCTCCAAAATATCTAAACTACACACAAGTGATTTTAATACACGTAACAATTTGGTGTTTATTTACCTTTTCATATATTTGCTGGAACATCTACAATAGTTAGAAAGAGATAAATAATGAAATACAACTTTCTGTAGTTTGGAAAACATTAAGTACATTATTTAACTTTAATAACAATTTATTGTATGCAAATTGGTACATTGTGAGAAATGGTATGTCATTATGTTACAATGTACGTACTGATATAATTTTATCGATGTTTCCTAACTAGTTGAAGTTTTAATCCCTCATACAGTCTCCTTATGGTGTACTATGTGTGTACTGTTAAGTGTTCATCAAATTTTTCGTGTTTAAGATATGTCAATTGTATGATTCCAATAGTGAACAGTAATGCCAAAAGAAGTCATGTATTATTTAGAAGTTATATCTTTTTCTATCTAGCAAATATCTTCCAAACCATATGAAGATGAGTTATGTGTCAGAGGAGTAACAAGGAAGGTAACCCAAGCCTCCCCCGAATCATATGACCCTAGAATTTGTTATTCAGTCAAAACAGATCCTTTATGAAGTCTTGCAGCACATGTATGTTAAAACAGTTGTTGCTTCTATTTATATAAGATTAATGCCAAATACAGTACCTGTTCTTCCTCACTAGGGCTCACAAGAAATGAGAAACATCATAAAACCTCTGGGCTTCTTACCTAAAAACTAGAAAAATTTTTAGTCAAGTTGCTTATTATTGTGTATTGTTAAAAAATTATTATTATTACAGTACTATATTTTTTGTTAAGAAGTTAATTCATTGTATTGTTTCACATGTCATGTTTTTTAATTAATGGACTACGTCTTGATATCAATACGTAATTGTGAAAATCAAGTCTTGCCAGACTGACATAGCTAAATCGTTAAGTATTTTTGCCACTTGACATGCTACAGTATATGTGAACCTGTACCTGTACTCTGTCATTTCTGAGGTGTGTTGTGCCAGCTTTCCATTAATGTCATTTCAATCATCTTTAATGCCTAAACAATGGAGGGGGGGAGATCATTTAAACATTCAGAAAAAGCAATATTTTGATTACTGTAGAGGCTTTCTTAGGTATTACAAATCAAAAGTTAAGGTATGAATCCGGCGAGCAGTACTGTAAAGTTAAATGAGACTGTGGTGTGTGTGTAAGTTATCATTACTCCAATAAAAGGTTTGGGTGTACCTAAGAGTTTCTTTACAACATATTGATGGTGAAGCTACAGGAGGGGCACAGGTAAAACTTTAGAATTACCCAGTACCTGAAACGTTTTAAGATCATTTGGGGAGATATTTATAACAATACTGTACAGTATTCATAACAGGAAGGTGGATGTTTGTGATTATGAAACATTGTACCCAGTACCTGTACAGAATGTACTGTGATTATTTCATCAACAAAGCACAAGATTAAAAAGGTCACATTGTGTCTCAGTGTGCCACTTCATCTAAATACTGGAGTAAGAAAATTGTCATTTAGTTAGATTTTCTACAATGATATTATCAATCAAGTTCACGATGGTGTTACTGTTTCAAGAGTTCATTTACACTACACACCAGTCACATAAATGAACCCGAGACTGAAAGATGA